AAAACAAGAACCTAAACATAATATAGACGGCTACTACTCATCGTAATCATATAATGTATCATCTTCAGTGTCACTTTCTCTACTATGAATGTTTTCTCTTGAATCATCATTATCCGCTCCAAATGGATCATATACTGGCATGTCTAGTGTAACTCCTATTATGTCATCTCTGACATTAGTAAAATCATTACCCTCTGGCAAATTTGATTGAGTAGATTGCATGAGATCCACTTCGAGTATGTTGTCACCATCAACTTCAAATAGATCTCTAGGTTTTGTTGCAATCGCTACATACATGCCAATTCTTCTCCTTAGACTCTGGGGTATAAAATACTTGTACTGCTTGAGATGCAAGGATAAACGGCTAATTAGTCTTGCAACGAGCTTTAAGATTAACTAGTGTAAGGCCGTGCACATCTTTTTTCACGCCTTTTTTCGGATCCATCCAATGACATTCAAACAAAATCACACTTCTCCCCAATGGATGTGCTAACTCAAACATTCCAGTAAGAATGCCAAACCACGTAATATCCCCAGCACTTGTGACAGAATTAACTAAAACGCCTGAGTTTTGTGTCACGCTTCTATTGTCAATAGCTTTAATTCGCCATTTGTACCCATTACATGTAATCTTGGACATTTTTCTAACATTAGCACTTGGAAAAGCACTCAAGCACTTCAAGTCCTCCGATAAGCATGGATCTAAGGGAAGATGCCTAGAAACCTGAACACTAAAATAGTCTAAGAAAATGGGTATAAAGCATATATACAATTGTACTATATGTACTATTACTTACATTACAAGAAAACCAATTTGAAAATCTTTCCCTATGAATGTTATCAACATTATTCTTGACACCTTGATATTCCATAGCAACAATGGAGTAGTGATCCCTAAAGAGCCACACGATAATAATTAAAAGTGTTACTTATCCGTACCGCACTTCTTGATAATTAAGACGCATCAATTACTATGGACTATATAAATAATATAAAGTTATACTTACTGCTCATAAAGTTTAACTTCCTCACATTTCAATAACACATAATTGTGTGCCTGCTCAATGAATGCATAGTCAGGTCTAATCTCTTCTATTTTGGACAAAGACTTCCATGCTACAAAAAACACAGAGAGACAAAACTTAACTTCACAACCATCATCATGGTTCCTAGAAGTCCTATTCTCCCTTGTTTCAGTATCATGCGTGTACCTTGCACAAAGAGTCAAACACTCGTTTGCAATATAGCCTTCTGCTATTGACCCCTCAGGACGAGATTTATTGCGAACAAAACATTTATACGTCCTCAAACCTCTGCAATTTAGAACTTGAAATCAAATTAACATATCGATATAATAAAAAAGTATAGAATAGTTAAATATGGCAAGCACTTAGATACATCCAGTGATAGATCACTGGACCTGTGATCATGGCTTCATATGCCAGATGGACAACTAAATGCACCATTATGTCGAAGAATGAAGGCAGGAAAATGAGCTATAATTTACATAGTGTAACAACAACACGCTCTTGCAAGCTCTTACATTCAGCTGCAGTAGCAACTTTAGAGCACAATTGCTTGAAAAAAGAGCTCAACTCAATCAGAACAGCACCCAATTTCTTATTTTGCATCTTCCTTGCAATCAATGGCAATAGTTGTTGTAGAAATTTGTAAAAGACCGAATGGTTTTCATTGAGTATTCACAACGTATAAATACAAGTAAGTTTGAGGCTACGTTGGGCCAGGCCCGATTACATACAAGGAAAGATACATACATGGAAATAATATACAAATATGCAAATAAAACTATATATGATGGTCCCAAAGTGGTGAGATACAAAGTCTAGAGGGGGAGGGTGAATAGACTTTGTTACAATTTAAAAACTTTTTCCTTTCTTTTGAAAACATGAAAATCAGTGTTAATCTAGAGTTCTTGTGAACTTTAGATTGTGTGTGGAAGTTGGTGGGTTATTAGAGCAGTAATCAATATGGATGGGTTAGTTTCACAGTTAATATAAATGCAAGTATGAGTAGAGATAAAAGAGAGAGACACACAAACTTTAACGAGGTTTGAAGGTGGGGTAATCCTTCTACGTCCTCAAGATCCATTATGTAGTTGGTTGTTGAATAATAAACCAACAATTACACTTGTGTGAATTTCTGCATGGTATATCTTTGCAAGGCCAATGTTGCTACTGCACACGTGCTGGCTTTGTTGTTCCTTCGAAGGTCACGCTTCTTCAACAACTGCAAGATCCGAACAATAGGACTTGCAAGATCAACTTGTAGGAAAGTTGATGTACTCCCTTTTTAATCAAGAAGTTTGATTAAAAGTAGTATCCTTCAACGTGGTGTGATACTTGAGGCAAGGAAACCTTCTAGTGTTTACACTATAGCTCTTTGGAAGGAGGAGAAGTTTGCTTCTGGATAAGGAGTTTAGAAATCTCTCTTTATCAAGCTTTTTGGCTAACTGTGAATGAGATAGCTTTGTTGTAGTAGTTTGCTCAGTTGTATGTACTTCGTGTCTTTTTCTCCAGTCTTCCATGGAAGCTATATATAGCTGGATTGGATGATTTATCCGTTGAAGGGAATAGACTATCCGTTGCATTTGCTGGCTTCAATTTGAACGAATAGTGAGATTGAGGATTCTTCATTGGAATGGGTGTTTGGACATACCCAATTGTTTGAAGAAGGATTCCTTTTTCACAGAATCCGTCCTTTAGCTGTTGTTCAAGAATTCTGGACTGTAACTCTTTATTGAGTGGAGTACTCAGTTTGTCTTCTAGTGTTTGTTTGGGAATTCTGGGCGAGCTCTTCAATTTGAGAAGTCCAGACTTTGTCTCCAAGTTATTTGTTCTTGAATTAGCTTAATTATCCTTAATCTAGCCGTTGAAAATCAAGAGATTGATTTTTCCTTCGGGTAGAATTTCTTCATTCAAGACTTAGATAATTTTTCTAAGTCCATTCTCACTAGTCTGCTTCTGAGAGTTCCGGTCTTTCTTGAGGCATCCGGTTTTTCGCTGACAATTCCGGAAAAGTCATTCATAGACTTCCAGGTGAGAAAGAGATCTGCGCTAGTCTTCCGATCCGGATGACTTAGCCTTCAGCGGGTTGTAGCGAGACATCCGGTTATTGTAGAGTGTTCCGGATTTGAGAATCTTCAAAGAAACCAACTGCTTTGAGAACTTCTTACTTGTCTCTGACATTTTCGATCAAGAATTCCAATTTCCATATCACTGGATTTGATTAAGTCTTCAAAGATTGACATTAAACCACAGAGTGAAATATCACAACTTTATTGGAAATCTCAAGAACTCGCTTTTAACAATACTTCTAAAAAGAAAAATTACACTGAATATTGGAGGTGACCTAAAGTCCCTATTACAATCTAAATACATCATCATCAAAATCTATAATATTTTTTCCAACAATATATTCTAACACTCCCCCTCAAGTTGGAGCATGGAGATCACAAATGCCCAACTTGGAGAGCAAGAAAGAAAATAGAGGTCTGTTTGGTGAACAGATCTGTAACACCCTAACTTGAATGGACTATTCTAAATTAGAGAGTTAAGGGGAAATATACTAATTTCTTATAAAAAAATCATATAAATATTTATTAAAAACAGCGGAAACGAGTTTAATACACAATATGTTTGTGAACATAACATCATAAAAATAAATAAAATACAAATTTTTTATTCAAGCAAATAAATAAACACATAACCGTATTTATCAAAACGGATTTAATTGCCATGTCCTGCACTTCCACTTGTTCCAGCTACATCACCTACACACTAGTAAAAACCAAAAATACTGTACGCTCAGCATATTTTCTGAGTGGTACAAAACAATATAGGACGGAGTCTCGTAAAAATATAATTTTACGAAAATCAATATCTTACTTTTACAGAATGAATTTCCATATATCAAACTACATAGATATAAGTTAGATAAAAACTTTATAAAAGATTTTATCAAACCACTGAGATACGAAATATTCAATTTAACGACATACACCCAGGGTCTCCGAATATAGCCCTAAGAAATATTGCGTTTTGGGCATCATTCTCGCAACCTTGGCCGATGGTTCTGTATACGTATACGATGAGAGGTGATAGGGGTCTCCTACCGTTACTCCGAAATAGAAGTTTACGATGATCTCAAGTTGTTCAAACTTATGATAATATAAAAGTTTGAATATTATTCCATACGTATTAAATCATTTTTATAAATCAATATTTTATAATAATTTACTTTTAAAAGTGTTAAAAATATTAATTTTGAGAATAAAATACTACTTTGTATATTTTTTTAAATAACTTTATATCATACAAAGAGTGCTTTGTTTTAAAAGATTTTTATAAATATAATAGTTGAACGGGAAGTCCGTGCAATACGATTTTGTACATACCTCGGGTTCGAGAGAGAAAGTGAAACGGAGTTGTTGAAGACTAGTAAGGAACCGAGACTTTAGAGGTGTTATGGAGCTTTACCGAAGAAAAGAAATAGAAAAAATGTCTTAATAACTTGAAGAACACTAAAAAAATGCAGAATTTTCGGGAGAGTTTTCTTACCATGAATGGGCTCTAAACGAATTCTTGTTGGCTCTAACTTCTTTTAGACTTTTGGGAAAGGTTTCACTACAAGAAAATCTACTTTTAGTTATGAATCAATAATGACGGGTTGAAAAGACTCTCATTATATGTATTATATGTGTTATTTATATATTTTTTATGACGGGAAAAGTACCGTAGTTAAAATTAGTTACTTTTTGTGACCAATCTTTTAACCCTCACTATAAAATTAATATGGAGTATCTATTTGTATTTAAACCAAATTAAAGTAAAATATAATTTAAAATTTCCCTTAAAAAAATGTAGTCCAAAATTAATACGGAGTGTTGGATGTTTACTCGAAAAAACCAGCGGCAAGAAATTTGGGATTTGCCGCCTGAAAAAGCCCTAAGGAACTCCAACTCAATAGGAACTCCAGTACCACCGGCCTACAAACTGCTAGACACGCCGAGCTTCCGCCGCTACTCTCTCCACCATTCTATTCAACTGGACTCTTTCCGTCGTTTTTTTGCTGAGGGGTACAACCTTACCCCTACCGGTCGGCCAGGTATAATATATTAACCCTCGTCTTTGTAAAAATTCTATTCCCAAATCAGATTATTTTCCTCTATTTGTTTTAGATATGTTAGATGTAATTTTTTGAGACGTGAAATTGTGAATCAATGATTTTTTTTCTCTATTTTTTATCAATAATTTAAGGTGTGTCAGATGTGAAATTGTGAATTTATGATCTTTTTACACAAGAAATATGAATTTGCCCTTTCTGATTAGGTTTATTTTCTTATGATTATATGAAGGTTTTGATTTTGTGTTGATTAAATTAGTAAATTGTTAATTGAAATTGTGAATTTGTGTTTTAGATATGAAAAGTACTAATTTTTCATTATTATTTGTTAAATATGTTAACCCCATTTAGCTTGACACCTAGATGCTTGTCAAACACTAATGCATTACTGCTCTCTCTAAACTAATGAAGTACTCTGTATATTTTTAAGAATGGTAAAGGGTCAATTAAGCCCTCTAATATGATCTCAATCTGAAACTTCTGGAAATTGTGTCTTAGTAGTTATATTAGCCTATGATAGTTAAATTAGCCTATGATAGCTATATTAGCCTATGATTGTTATAGCATAGTTATATTAGCCTATGATTGTTAAGGCTATATACGATTGTAACTAATCTATGAGCATGGGTATGCCATATGAATGTCTCATTGAAACATCATGAGTTATGAAATAAGAAGCAAAATTCTAGTTTCTGGGAGAGTGGTTTTCGCTTGTCACCCGCTTGTGTTTGTTTTGAGCAACTTGCTTTTGGGGGATGGTTTTTGGTTTTCGGGTTCTGGTTTTAGGTTTTCAATATCAGGCTTTTGGGTTTTAGCAGCTGGCTTTTGGGTGGGCTGGTTTATGGTTTCAATTTGAAAAGTTNGCTTGTGTATATATTTTGGGACATAGACCAGATTAGGACCCCCCTATACTTCTTTCAAACAGTAGATTAGGACCAAATAACCCTCTTCATCTTTAATGGCACATATCTACTTCTTCATGTCTACTTCTTCTCCTTTTTATCTTAACCATTACTCGGAGTAAACTTCAACTGAAAAGACACAACATTAGTACTCCACATGTTCTTCTCCTTTACTTTCAATATATGTCCTGCACACATTATTGGAGCTAAACCACATGTTCTTCTCCTTTACTTTCAATATATGGTACTACTTAGTACTCCTATCCCTACCACCACCAGATCTTCCTCTTCTGCCAGCAGCCCTTCTTCTGCCAGTAGCTGATGTTTTTGATCCAATGCTTTGACTATAACAAATATGCTATTTGCAGGTCTCGAAGGTATTGTTCACAGTAATGTTTGAGACTACCCTGTCCCAGGTTTTTGCTCTTGTTTTCTCCAATTTTCTGATGCTTCTTGGTCATGATTTGGGGAGTGTTTCACCCCTTTAACTATATTTTAATTCAATTTTGGGCGTGAATCCCCTGAATTCTCTTTGCTTGAGTAACTGTTCATCCTTTTCATTGGTATCTGTCTGTTCGTGTGTGCTGTTTGTGGGTGCATTTGACTGAATTAATGGTGATTTGGGATGGAAATGTCTGAAAATGTGGATTTTTAAATGAGCCAAGACATGACCTTGACTGCTTTGGTAATTCCACTACATTAAAACTGCCTAGGTGGGTCTGCCCAGGTCTGTTTTTCACCCCCGTTTTGCTGCTCTTGTTTCTGCTGCTGCTACAAAGGGCTATACATGATGGTGGGAAGGGTTTGCAACATGGAATAATCCATCATATATACACCCAGAAAGAGCTCCAAACAATACACTCTTTAGGGATAGTCTTGGCTACCAAACCTCAATCGTGCGAAAGACAATGCCTTATCAAAGTCCCTCGTCTCCTCCGTCGGTGGATAACTTCCGGTTCCTACCCCTCCTAATCCCCCGATAAACCCCCACAGCCCACCTCACCCTGAAACCCACTGCCCCACCCCTTCAATTGCACCTTTTCCAGTTTTCATCTTCTCGATATCAGCTTTGAAGGATCTTAAGCTCTCCACATGCACTTGTGCACCATTTACATGGCTTGTCTTTGCTACCTTTCCTCTTCTTATCGCTCCTACAGTCTTTTTGCTATCTAAATCAGCTTTTGCCCTCTGGTCCTTCTCCAATTTCTTATGGACTTCTTTCATTATAGTGGATGCTTCCTTCTTTTCTTTCTTCCATTCTTCCCATGAAGAACCATCTTCAAAATGAGCTTGCATTTCATAGTCTACAGTGGCATTGTAACCGCTAGAGCTTGTTTCCGTCTCACGTTTAGGCATCAGGCTGAGATCACTAGGCTCATAAATGGTTTGGATTTTAACTCCATTTGAGTTTTTTTCTGTGTTTCTAGTAGTTGTAGGAAGCTCATAGTCCATATCAAAGGTAGTTATATATTTTGGTACAGTGTCATTGAAAAGACCTAACACATACTACCACACAAGATTTATCAACCATATTTTGTGAGGAAGTCACAAGTTTACTAGTCACTGCCCGAAGTCCATTTTCAGTGAGTGTATTTATAGACTTTTTACCATTGTCTCAGCATAATAAAGGTCCAGTTGGTCATTGAGTCCCATATCGTTGCTCCAGTTGTAAATCTTTATCACCCGATATGCTGGAATGCAGAAAGGCAGGTCCATACTGATTCCATGGATGTCACTCTCCCTATTATCATCAACAAGAGCAGTATGATCTTCACCAGTAGGACTGTTATGTCTCGTTGGCCTTTTTTCTGTCTCGTACACTTTTCTTATTTGATATAGTCCTATAGTTCCACATTTTTACTATTAGATTTGGACACAATTTAGGCATCACACATTATTTTTTCTAAAAAGGGATATTTGTGTCTCTTCACTAAATTTAGATTCGATATGGAACTTAACTTGGTTCTCAATTATGAAATTTGGACCAGATATAATCCTCTGTCCTCACAGTATGAAATGCCATTCTTAATTACTTCGTAACATGGACTGTGCCATATGACTAGATTGAGTCTAAAATGCCATTCTTAATTTACATGGACTGTGTCATATGACTAAATTGAGTCTAAATTGCATAGTTGATGATCAATTTGAGAAGTATAGTCGAAAGACTAATAACAAATTAGATATTAACTATGTTTTGTTTTTTGTTTTTTGTTTTTTGCCTAAGTTTGTTTCTTTATTACTGTTCAGATGTTAGCTAAGAAAGTAGAGACACCAACAAAAGCTATGGAAGTTGAGGCCAAAAAGATGAGAAGGGAGGTTGCTGCACTGGAAAAAGAAGTTTCTGCTGGATTAAGCTGATTTTTTTAAATAAATAAATTCTATGTTTCGTTCCACAGGAAGCCCATGTATGTAGTTGGTGCTGAGTGCTGTAGGTGGAAGTTTGCAGAATTTCACAATACATTGAGGTAAAAAGGGCTATTCAAGCCATTTACCGGTCTCTGAGGATGTGAGTAACAGCTCTCCCCTTTTAGATTTTCCTTTAACATAAACTATGTAATCAAGAAGTATGAACTTTGTCTCAGTGGTTGGTAGCTGCTGGATGTTTCACCTTTGGTCTTAAACATATATGCTTTTATGTGATTCTGCTCTAAAGGTTTAGTGGAAATTACCTTTTAGTCTTAAACATATACATGCTTCATTGGGTTTGGATGTAGTGCTGAACTTATTGTTTTATCTTGTTGCAGACTTTTAGATGTTTGCCTTTGAAAATAGCAAAGAAGGAAACTTTCTATTCGTAGCACACCAAGATGACACCTTTCATGTCTAGACATCTTTGAACTAAATCTTTAGTGAAGCCATGGAATCCATGCATCATCCAACACAGAATAGTACGGATCGGAGTACCTGCTTATTTTATAGAGCAACCATATACTTTTTCTTGAGTTTGATTTTTTATATTTGCATAGGCTTGTTCGGTGTCTATAAGGTCTTAGAACCGAATAATTTTTGTCATTTCTTTTATATTATGTAGATCTTTTTTAAATCTTGGAGGGGCTTTGGTTTGGCCCTCCCCTCCCATTGTATACATCCTTTCTCATTTTAATAAAATTTTCTTTAATAAATGCATAAATCAATGTATGTGTGTGTCTATATATATATATATATATATATATATATATATATATATATATATATATATATATATATATATATATATATATATATATATATATATATATATATATATATATATATATATATATATATATATATATATATATATATATATATATATATATATATATATATATATA